AGTAATCCACTTGCACACATGGCATTGACGTGGAATTTAACGTGCCACGTCATCTTTCCATCAGCCACGTGGACAACGTTACTAACGGTTTTGATCCAGTGGTCAACGGCGTGGGACGGTTTAAAGTTGAGTGGCCAGTGAGATAAGTTTTAAAGGTGAGTGGGTAAACCGTGATATGTATGAAAGTTCAGTGGCTAATGAAACAATTAACTCTAGTCTGAAATACATGTAACTCGTCCGCTCCTTTGTGAGCTGGTTCTACGCTACGCTACTTTTTCGGGATTGTGATATTCAGACTCACGTGAATCTATGTTGTGCTTTCACATACTTGTTCATGATTAGTGATATTGTTTAGAACTATTCTACTCGTAAAAGGGGTTTCAAGCTACGGGTGCAATGCTGGCAGCACTACATTGGCTGCTAGCACTACACCTATAATGTGTAAGGGGGAATTTCCCTATACATATAGCATGGTTCTCCATTTATATAGTGGTTGCATCAAGAAGACGAGTTTTTTGTCTCAACTTTTTATAATTTATTTTCTCCAAAATTATTTTCAATCATTGTCATAAATAGCTATTATAATTATTTATGCCAGGACAGGGAAGATCACACTTCAAAGGCAAAACTGTTGAAATCATAAAGGTCTTACTATCATCACCTAATTACAAAAATGAATACATATAAAATAAGTAAATAAATGAGTTCTCTTCCTTTTTATTTAGAAATGTTATTAGAATAATAATCAATATTGATCTATGCGACATAGCTCACTTTAGATGAATAACGTTATTCTATTTGATAATTCAAGTGGGTCACACATGTCACTATTTTATTGGAGGGCCCCGTTGAAGGTGGACTTAGCTGGCTGTTCGGTGCACCAATAATTTTCTCATGGTGCATGTACAGCAAATCCACTCAACAAAATAATGGCCTCCACTAACCTAGGAGACTTTTTAGATTTTTATTTTTTTATTTCTGGAAAGTGGTGAGCATGGGCACAAAAAGGTATTTATATACTTTACATTTTTTTGTATTTTTTGTAAAATTCATTCAAGCTTAGGTAAGAATGTGGAGTTTGGCCTTACCCTAATTTAGTATATTGTTTGAATGGACAACTTTACGTATAATGGTTTTGAAGTGCAATTATTATTTTATAAATTTAAATCGATCATGTAAATTCTTCTTTCTTATTTCACCAGTAGTGAGAACATGTGTTGGACGTTTTATATATAGAATGAATTATATACTTAACATTTTTCAAGTATTAATATTGTTTTTAAAGTGGTTGAGATAATTGATAGTGTTAAGGGAAATATTCAAATTGAAAAATAATAATAATAATATACATATATATATATATAAATGTTGATCGATAAGGATTGATTGATATTATTTTTCTATTTTGAAATCGTTGTGTTTTTCCTTTCTCAAGTATGGGAAAAAACTTTTCTATTGTGTCCTTAAACAACATAGTTTGAAAATTACTTTCTTGAAAACATTATAAAAAATAACATATTAATCTAATAGTGAAACTTCTATATAAAAAAAGTATGGGCTAATTCTGACATTATATAATACTTCTCCATCACACAAAATTAGTTTTATAACTTCAATAGGGCCGTTCTTATTGCTGTAGATGGCAATGGGGCGGGTTCGGGGCGGGGCACCCTC